ACTCGGAAGGCTGAGGCAGAAGGATCGCCGGAGCCCAGCAGGCTGAGGCTGTGGTGGCCATGAGCATGCCACTGCACTCTAGCCTGGGCGACAGAGTGAGAATCCAACTCAAAAAAAAAAAAGTTGTTCTTGGGGACAAGGAGCCTCAGGGGAGCAGGGTACCCTGGGGTCAGAGCTACACAAGGGGCCCAGGAGTCGTTCTCCGGTCACGAACACCTGAGGTTGAGCGCCCAGCCCTCCTAACACCCCACCCCTCCCCTGAGACCCTCCCCGCTCCTCACGTTGTCTGTGAAGATGACCCCGAACTTCCAGATCTGGTATTTTACATCGATGGACATGAGCCTGGGCAGGAGCAGGGGTAGGAGAGAGATGGCCGAAGGTCAGACCCCGGCCACCTCCCCGCCTGCCCCAGGTCTGCAGGGGTCATCCCTGGCTCACCAGGTCAGCAGCCCGGGCGGCGGGTGGGGCTTGCGCTCATTGTGTGCTGTGATCTCCAGCGTGGCCAGATCCATGCCCAGCAGCTCGGCGATCCGCTCCCGCCCATAGATGTCCCCGTGCTTGTCCAGGACCTGCATGAGAGCGTCAGGCCATGCAGACACAGCTGGAGTGGGGGGGGGGGTGTCGTGGCCTGCAAGGGGGGGTGGTTCTGGGAACACTCCAAACTCTGTGTGAGAACCTGGGGGCGCCTTTTTCCTAAAGAGAAGGGCCAGAACTTTCTTCAGATACTCAGGAGGTCCCGAAAGTGATGGAAGCCCGGCCGATTCATAATCAATTGGGATAGTTGATGACGTTCAGGTAGGTTGGCAAGGAATCCTGTATAACTGGGCCCGTCATCTAGAAACTTCTCTCCTCACCTTCACCTCATCACTCACTCTGTTCCAGCCACACCGGCTTCACAGTTTCTCAGACACACTAGGCACGTTCCTGCTCCGGAGCCTTTGTACTGGCTGCTTTCCCCGTCTAGGACACTCCTTCCCAGACTTCCACTGCCTCTCTCCCTCACCTCCTTATGAACTGGTGTGCCCTTTCCTGGGCGCCCTGAACACAACACAGCAACCTCACCTAGCCAACACACACACTCCCTGCTTTTCAACGATTTATCTTCCGTCCATCTGTCCATCCATCTCTCTACCTACCTGTCTGTTTGAGACAGGATCTTACTATGTTTCCCAGGCGGGTCCCAAACTTCTGCTTCAGCCTCCTCCTTCCTGTCTCAGCCTCCCAGCCACCACTTTATTTTTTTCCCCCCAGCCTTTTCACCACCTGCATCTATCTTTCCAATTGGACTGTCAGAATCACTGTTTTGTTTACTGTTGGATCTCCAGTTCCTAAAGCAGTTCCTGGCACACAGTACGTGCTCAGTAAACATTCCCTGAGCGGATGCGTAATGAATAGCCAACACACATATCTCGTGTTTTCCTGCGTGGCAGACACTGCTCACAGAGTCAGCCATATGATGCTTACAACACCCCTGGAGGGTTGGTCCTGTTATTCCCCCACACTGAGCATGAGGGGACTGGAACACAGAAGGTGGCATGCTAGGAGCAGAAAAGCAGACAGTCTGGCTCTCGGGTTTGTGTGCTGTGCTCCCTCTCTGTGCCACACAAAGCAAGTGCTTGGCAGGGCTGCGATGGCAACAAGGGACCCCGTCCAGAAGGCCCTGCCACCTCCCCATCCACGTCTTCTCACCTTGCGCTTGACAAACTTGTCCCAGTAATTGCTGGGGAAAGACCTGTCGAGAGAGGGTGCGAGTGAGGCATCAGACAAGAGGGGTCAGGACCACCAGCAGGGCCGGGATGGTTGAAACTCCAGTGCTTTGCGTACAGGGGACCCTACACCTGGACCCCACTGCCATCTTTGGTGGAGGCCAGAGGAGGCAGGGGACTTGCATTTAGAGGGAAGACACCAGAAACGGCTAGGCACACTCACATCTGTAATCCCAGAGCTTTGGGAGGCCGAGGTGTGAGGATCGCTTGAGCCCAGGAGTTCTCGATCAGTCTGGGCCCCATAGCAAGACCTCATCTCTACAAAAAATCGACATATTAGGCGGGCATGGTGGCGCTTGCCTGTAGTTCCGGCTACTCGGGAGGCTGAGGCGGAAGGATTGCCTGAGCCCAGGAGGTTGAGGCTGCAGTGAGCCATGAACATGTCACTGCACTCCAGCCTGGGCAACAGAGTGAGACCGACTCAAAAAAAAAAAAGACACCAGAATTGCACTCCAGTGGAGGCTCCTGCGTGGTAATGAGTGGGAAAATTCTGAGCTAACAGCCGACCCTGCAACAACCCCAGTGGACCCACCTACTTTCTCCCACTGTTTTCGTTCATTTGGTTTAATAACCCTGCCCTTTATTTACCAGTTTTCTGAGTAACAAATTCATGCTCTAGCAGTCTGCAAAGGTGGCTAATGGATTTTGCCTTAGGGGATGCTGGAGTGGAGATTAATTACGAACTCATGGACTTAGACTTATTTGAATGATTCCGTTCATTGCACTTCCTATCCTTATTGATGGATAGATTGAGTCTGGGTCTCACCCAGGTTGGAGTGTAGTGGTGCAGCCTCGAACTCCTGGGCTCAAGAGAGTCTCCCACTTCAGCCTCCAGAGTCACTGGGACTAGAGCACGCCACCATGCCCAGCTTCCTCCCTAATCTGTCCAGTTGGAGCCCCTTCTCGCTGCCTCCTGGTTCCTCAGCATGTCATCATCTTCACTGAGCACATTCTCGCTTCCTGACCCACCCATCATCCAGGCTCATCTTGTAACTTCCCCGCCCCGGCCCTGAAAGCTGCCGTTTCGTCAAGAAGCCTGCTTCCTTTTCTTTTTTCTTTTTTTTTTGAGTTGGAGTCTCACCTGTTGCCCAGACTGGAGTGCAGTGGCACGCTCACGGCCACCCCAGTGTCAACCTGCTGGGCTCAGGCGATCCTTCTGCCTCAGCCTTCCAAACAGCTGGAACTACAGGTGCTTGCCACCACGTCCAGCTAATTTTTTATTTATTGTAGAGAAGAGGTCTCACCAAGTTGCCCAAGTTGGTCTCAAACCCATGGGCTCACGACATCCACTCGCCTCGGCCTCCCAAAGTGCTGGGATTACAGGCTGAGTCACCGAGCCCAGCCCCTGCTTCCTTTTCAATGGGAAATGGTATTTAGAAACCAAGACCTTGAGCAGACACTGTTTTTTTATGTTTGCTTTTGTTTTTTGAGTCTCAGTCTCACTGTGTCACCCAGGCTGGAAAGTGGTGGCACAATCATGGCTCACTGCAGCAGCCTCAACCTCCTGGGTTCAGGGGCTCCTTCCACTTCAGCCTCCCAAATAGCTGGAAGGAACTATACCACCCAGCTAATTTTTTTGTAGAGACAAGGTCTCACTATGCTGTCTGGCTGGTCTTGAACTCCTGGGCTCAAGCAATCCTCCCACCTCAACCTCCCAAAGTGCTGGGATCACAGACAGGAGCCACCGCACCCAGCCTAGCAGGCACTACTATAAACAGAGCTGTTTCTCATGTACGCTATCTCACTGCTAAGCACATGGACCTGAATGTATGCAAGTTAAATGTGCCTTTGACAGTGATGATGAGGGTGGTTTATCTCCCCTCCTCCTCACATCTCCTCTATTGGACAGGACTCCATAGTAAAATAACTTCCAACCCTTGTCTAGGACTTACTAGGCCACAGAAACTCCATCAACTCATTTAATTATGACAAGATCTTTGCAAGGTTGATGCTATTATGTATCCCTGTATTATTATTATTATTATTATTTTGAGTTGGAGTCTCCCTCTGTTGCCTGGGTTGGAGGGCAGTGGCACAATCATGGCTCACCGCAGCTGCAACCTTCTGATCTCAGGCAATTCTTCCACCTCAGCTTCCTGAGTAGCTGGGACTACTGGAGCATGCCATCCACACCCAGCTAATTTGTTAATTTTCGGTGGAGATGAGGTCTTGTCAAGTTGCTGCTTTGGCTGGTCTCGATCTCCTGGGCTCAAAGGATCCTCCCACCTTGGCCTCTCAAAGTGCCAGGATTCCAGGCATGAACCACTGTGCCCAGTCTTATCCCTGCTTTACAGATGAGGAAATTGAGGCACAGAGAGGCTCCTAGCTTGGGTGTGGCCAGCCCACGGTTTGAACCTGACCTGGTGTTCTTATTCTAGACATGCCCATCTCTGATTATGTAGTCGCTGTAGAAACATGTGAAATGAGACTTGATTGTGGGAAAATGGAGTGGGCTGGGGATCCAAAATCCCCCTGCATGGCCCCCACATAGCCTCATCCTCCCTGGGTCCAGTTTAGAAAACAAGCGACTTCTTATTTCCCACTCGTGACACGTGGACACAAATCCCATGTGGGGCCGGGGTTTAAAATGAGGATTCCCAGGCTCCACTCCAGACTCCTGAACCAGAGCCCCCAGGGCTGGGCCCAGGAAACCCCATGGGCCACCAGCACCCGCACAGGTACTTTATGGCATGGAAACGTGTCGACTTTATGGCGGGGAAGATTGAGGCTTGGGAAGAACAAGTCGGGGTGGACATGGAGGAAGCCTGGTTTTTTGAGGGCCAGGCCTGGACTGGGGTGGAAACCCAGTTCCACCCCCATTGTCCACCCCGAGGTGGGGGCTGGGCCCTTACGGCGTGTTGAGCACCAATCGGTCCCATTGCCCCTTCACGTCGTCATCCTCGGGCTGCTCTGTGATGTAGAGACCATCAAACTCCAGCTTTCGGGCCAGCTCCTTCTCCCGCTTAAAGATCACCAGGGGCACCTAGATCGTGGAGGGGGTGAGGGGGCGTCAGGCATCTCAGTGCGACCACAGCCTTGGCCAAAGCCATGGATCTTGCTGGAGTCAGTGTGCAATCTCACATCAGAAGAGCTTTCCCAGAGTGACCAAGCAGAAGGGTCGAGCCGCGGAGGGGGAGGCCCAGGCAGAGGGGTCAGGCCAGGAAGAGGAAGGCCAGACGGAGGGGTCTGGGCTGGGAGGAAACAGGGGATCCATGGGAACCCAGAGGTAGTGCCTGATGCAGCCCAGGGCTTCCCAAGGAAGGGAGGTCCGAGCTCAGAACTCAAGGATAAGTGAAACAGAGGTAGGTACAAGAGGGGCAAAGCAGCCGGACACTGTGGCTCACGGCTGTCATTCCAGCACTCTGGGAGGCGGAGGCAAGGGAATTGCCAGAACCCAGGGGTCCAAGACCAGCCTGGGCAACTTGGCAAGACCTCGCCTCTACAATAAACCAAGAAAGCAGCCAGGCATGGTGGCTCATGCCTGTAGTTCCAGCTACTTGGAAGGCTGGGGCAGAAGGATCGCCTGAGTCCAGCAGGTCGAGACTGCAGGGGCCATGAGTGTGCCACTGCCCTCCAGCCTGGGTGACGGAGTGAGACTCTGACTCAAAAAAAAATTTAAAAAGAAGGACAAGCTTTGCCGGCAGATGGAACAGCATATGCAAAAGTTTTCAGCCCAAAGAACTCTGCTCATCCAATAGTAAAACATCAAGATAATAGTCTAGGACCAGGCTCCTCAGTTTTAAGCTGTGCCGGTTCCCAGTTTGAATATGATCCTTGCTGAAAACCCCCCAATCCTGCACCCAGCTCCCCCGCCCTTACCCCACCTCAGCCGGCTCCGTCCCAACCACTGAGGGCCTCCAGCCCCAGGTCTCTCCCGGGTCCTCTCAGTCAGTGCTCCAGCATCCCCACCAGCCTCCACAAGCCCCGCCCCAGAACTGGGGTCTTACCCACCTTGAGGCAGTTGTAGCCAATGATGCAGAGAAAGGCCACCAACGTATGCAGCAGGCTCAAGCATCGCAGGGCAGGTTCCATGTAGCCCGTGCTCTCCTCCAGGAAGTAGTACACCATGTTCTCATCCTCGTCACCTTCTGCCTCCTCACCGGCCCCTGAGCCCCAGCCAGAACCGCCACCAGACCCTGCACCCGACAGGTCCCCAGCTGCTGAGCCTTCCATGTCGTCCTCCCCTGGCGGAGAGTCTGAGACCTGAATGAGGGGGAGGTCCATCAGGGCAGGAGCACAGTGTCCTGGCACCTGGTCTGTGATACCCAGAGCCCACTAACAAAATTAGCCGCCTCCATTCCTGAGATAGGACTGGGGCTGTAACAGATACAGTCTTGGTGGGACTGTCCATCAAGCTGGAGGGGCAGGCTCAGCGTTCCAGCTAGCAAATCAGACCCTGCCCTGGGAATTTGCCTATAGAACTGAGTGGCAGATGACTGAACACAGAGTTGATTCATCTTGGCAGTGGAGCTCTAAAGAGACCGACCACTCACATTATCACAAACACTAAAATGGGTAGTAGCTGGCCGGGCCCAGTGGCTCAGCCTGTAATCCCCACACTTTGGGAGGCCGAGGTGAGTGGACTGCCTGAGCCTGCGAGTTCGAGACCAGCCCCGGCAAGATCTCGCGTCTACAATAAATCAAAAATTAGCTGGGCATGGTAGCGCGCGCCTGTAGTTGCGGCTACTTGGAAGGCTGAGGCGGAAGGATCGCCGGAGTCCAGCAGGTCAACACTGTGGGGTGGCCATGAGTGCACCCAGCCTGGGTGATGGAGTAAGACTCCAACTCAAAAAAACAAAATGAGTAGTAGCTAACATTTATATAGTGTTTTCTATATGCTAGGTACTGTTCTTAAGTGCTTTACACATATTCATCCTCTTTTAATCCCCACAGCTCTAGGAGGTAGACAATGTTGCTACCCCTACTTTATAGATGAGGAAGTTGAGGCACAGAGAGGTTAAACACCTTGCCTAACTTCACACAGCTAGTAAGTGGTGGAGCAGGCCTGAACCCACAGAAGCCACGCTCTGATCTCTCTAGTCTGCCTCTCTGTCCTGTTTTCCAGCCCCCTGGCATGACCCCAGGGGTCCCTTTGTCCTTTGGGAGAACTGGTTCTTGGCCCTTTCCTTCCATTCTGTGAGATGCCTGTTTCCTCCTCCTCACAAACTTCTTTTCGGCTTATGTGAAAGCAAAACGCTTAACTGAATCTGTGGATGTTGCCGAGACACGAGGGCCTGCACTCAGGCACACAGGGCTGGCCCATGCTGAGCTGGGCAGGGAACCCTGCAGGCACTCGGGCCATCTGGCCCAGATGGACCCAGTCACTCCATAACGCACCGGGGTTGCAAGATCCAGAGGTCCAGCCTGAATCCTCCTAAGGACTTAGAGTCCCCTGCCTCGTCCCTTCACTGGAAAGGCCCTAGGAACCTGTGGGAGTCTGAGCCTCCTGCCCCACAGCCTGGATAAGAGCCTGACCCTTCCCGACCAGCACCTTATAAAACAGCAAGATGAAGTTGATAGCAAATGCCAAGAAGAGGGCAAGGAATCGCAGCGTGTAAAAGTTCCGGGAGAGGTAGTTCTAAGATGAGGAGAGAAAGGGAGAGAGAGAGTTCACAGTCCAGCCTCTGGCCTGGAGAATCCATCTCATCATGTACTCACAATCAAAGCACCTGGGTTCTCAATTCCTGGTCCCACAACCCCCTATTTATTGAGGGCCTGCTGTATACCAAGACCTGGGCTAAGAGCTTTATATGCAAAAACTTATTTAATTCTCACCACAGCCCTATGAAGTGGGTAGTGCCGGAATGCCCACTCTACAGATGAGAAAACTGAGGCTCCAGGAGGTCTTTCTCAAGGCAGCAAAGTCAAGAAGTGACAGATTGGGACTTGAACGCAGGCAGTCAGGCTTGAGTCCATACTCCTGACCACTCTATCTTCCCGAGTGAGGCCACCCTGTCTGCTTCACCCCAGGCGGGGGACATCTTCCACCTCTCCTTTCCTCTTTTTCTCTCCACCTTTCCCTTCATCCACTTTCTTCCCACATATCCTCACTGGACCACCTCTGTCCGCCATGTTTCCCTCACCCCTTCACACCAGGCTGGGCCTGGAGAGGAAACAGGACAGACGGGGCCCTGGGACCTGCCTCCCAAACCCCTTCCCTCCTTCCTGGCCTGGATGAGGAGATATGTGCTTCCCCGGGAATTAGGAAAGCCAGGACTTCCAGGTGCAGCTGGGGCAGGTGGAGGGCTCAGATCCTAAAGGCCGAGAGCCAAGAAACAGGCCACGGTGAGAGGGCCAGAGGGGAGGCCTCAACTGAATGTGGCTGTGGACAGAGAGGATGGGGTGGGAACTTAGGTAGGTGGCCGTGCTGAGCAAAGGCGTGGAGGCTGGGATGAGAATAGCGAGCGAGGAAGGGGTGAGGAGCCAAGCGAGGGCCGCCTGTCCCCAGGTCTGGGACATCTCTGCCCTCTCCCTAGCTGGGGTTCCTCTCGGAGGTGAGTCTGAACCGGCGGCTTCCAGGACAGCTGAGAGGAGAGATGGCGGGGGAGGCGGGTCTCCAGGACAGGAAGGCGCGGCATGCCCTTGGTCCTCACCAAGAATTTCACCCTTTGCACCTCCAGCTCTCCCCAGAATTCGCCCCCAGCTTCCTCCTTCTTTGGAGGGGGTGAAGGAGGTGCTTGCGTCTTGGGGGGCTCCGGTGGTGGCTCGGGAACTCCTTCCTTCTCCCCATTCTCGGCACTGCCGGGCAGGAACAGAGAGATCAGGAGATGCCTGGGCAGTGCATTCTGTCACTCAGAGCCATCATTCATTGGGGCCTGCCCGTGCCTGGTCCGGGTTGGGTGGTGCCAGGGATACAGGGTGAGGAGACAACCTCAAGCCCTACCCCGGGAGGCTCTAGTCCAACAGGAGAGACTGACAGTGACTTGCCAGGCAGCGACAGCCCCGAGTGGTCAGGGCTGGGATGTGGGAGGCTCGGAGGGCTGTGGAGAAGACACCCTCTCAACTTAGGAGGGGGCAGATGTCAAGGCAGGCTTCCTGGAGGAGACATGGCAGCAGAGGGAAGGATGAGAAGGACTCAGGTGAAGCAGGGGGAGGTGTTCCAGGCAGAGGGAACAGCACGTACGAAGGTCTGGGGTTAGGAGGGCAATGCTCATTTCTCTTTTCCCTTCCACGGAGCCCCTCCTCTGTGCCTGAGTCTGGGCTGGGTGACTCTGAGGACACAGGGTAGCCAGGACAGCCTCCAGCCTTGACCCCTGGAGGCTCCCGGTCCAGGAGAGAGGCAGTTGATGGGGGTCGGCCCCTCCGGCCCTAAGGCCACTCACTCTGCTTTCTCGGGTTCGGGCTCCGGCTCCGGCTGGGGCTCGGGCTCCGGAGGCGGCTCCTCCTCCTCCTCTCCATCCACCTGGGGGCGGGGCGAGCATCGACCCAAACGCGTTTCAGGGCGGCCGCCCTCTTCTCTGTCCCGCTCTCCTATTTCCCCCGGGTAATCCACCATCTTACGCTCCCCCACCAGGAGGAAGAGGACTGCGATTCCCCTTTCACAGAGGGGAAACTGAGGCTCAGAAGGGCGCAGTGCCTCGCCCCAAGCACTGTGCAGGGTCAGGCTGATCCCCAGGGCAGCTCTCCTCCGGCAGGGCGGCCCACCTCCCTGGCATCCGCGCCCCCAGGGCCGCCCAGCACCGGGGGCCGGAGCACGCCCTGGGGGCCCTTCGGCCTCGCCCCCCACAGCCATGGCGTCCCTGGCCCCAGCCCTGTCTTCTCGTCTCGCCTCTCGCGTTCCAGCTC